CCTGCTGGAATTTCTCTTGCAGGAAAGATTTTGTTAATTGTGGTTCATGAAATCAGTGATTCTGAGAGGTGCATCTTCAGTGAACTTTATGGGGGATCTGCTTCTTACTGCATCTGTTGAAATAACATATGAAATTGTAACTCAGTTTATTAAATGTGGCAGTGATTTGGGAATGACATATTGGTATTTAGTCTTATAATAGTGCAAAAATTTTTTGCTGGAAAACCTGAGATTTTAAGAAGTTAAATTGGAAATAAATGTGAGGTTTTACTTGATTCTACCTGTATACATCCTACCTGTATGTTTTCACTAAATAATTAAAATATGCCACTGCAGCTTTTTCATTTCAGTGTAGCTTTCAAATTTGAAATGCATTTAAATTTCTCTTCAATGTTAAAGAGGACTTTTTTTGCAAGAAAATCTCCCTGGTCATGCTCTTAGGAAGATTATATAACATTATCCTATGGAATGGAAAAAATTATAACAACTGGGTGTATTCTTAGTAGGTCTAGTTACCAGCAGAGGCTGTATAGGTCACGTCTGTTGCAAATTAATGTGCTTTTAATTTTGCTCTTATCACTAAAATGAGGTGCTTTTAAGTGACTATTACTTCCATAGTCTTGATAATCATGCTTTTTTTTTTTTTTTTTTTGTTCATCTGAAGGTGGCTCCCTAGCAGGGTAATCTAGGATAAATCCCAAAGGTCAGACTTCAAGAAAAAGTACCTAAGAATGCATTTAGGTACTTCCTGCTCTGGTACTTCTGTGAAACCTAATGGGCATATAACTTCTGTTAACTATAAGGTCAGTTATGCAGCAGTGGTTGCCTCAAACCATCAGCTATCATGTCTATAGTGAATTTTTAGTAGAGTTTGCACAAGTACCTAAAAGTCATTTTCCATCTGCTTGCTGTAGTCCCTTGTCCAAACTCAAGAGAGGACAAAGAATTCATACCGAATTCTACCCAAGGCTAGCACACCATGCTTCCCAGTTAGAAAAACAGAAACTATTCAAACCGGTCTCTCTGAGGTCTGTTGGTGTTTTTTTTTTTTTTTTTTTCATTAACTATTGAAAACTATCACAGTGCTGGAGATTGTAGTCTGCATTATCCTTCTTTGGAAATCAAACACCGCAGCAGGTACTCTGAATATGGCACCTATGCAATTCTGCAAATCCCAGTAATTTGTCTTTTTTTCACTGAGTATCTAAGGCATTTATAACCATTGTTAGAAGATATTTGAAATTTACTTCTATGGCTGAATCATTTTGAGATGAGAATAACCAGATGTCATGCTCCATTCTTTGTTTCCAATTTTGTACATGAGAGTTCTGTTCGCTTTTACCATCCAGCTATAAGAACTGCAGCTCTCAAGACTTTTTGTTTTCAGCATCAGTGATTTCAGTGCTATATTTGTGTTATGATTTGCTCTTATTTAATTGCGAGTCATTTGATGAACCTGAATCCTTTCCTTTTGATCAATACCTTGTACTTTTAAAGCTTTCTGGGGGTGTCTGCTGGGATTTACTGCCTTTAAATATGTCTCAGACAAAAGTTGTCTTCTATATTTCCTACCTTCCTCAGTATTGCACAAGTTTTCAGAATTAGATTATGTTCTTAGTTAGAAGCAGTGTTCTCAGAGAAGCTGTCTGGCTTCTTCCCTGAAACAGTGCTTAATAAGACAAGCTTGTGTGTTTTCATAACCCACATTATACTTCCACTAAAAACTCTTAACAACCTATAATGGAGACTAGAAGTGCAGCACACTACAAGCATTTTGCCCTGTTAGGTTCACTTATACCCAGAAGGAGAAATCAGTGAAGTGATGCAGCTCCTTATTCTTGAGAGCTGTGACCACTTCATGAAATGAATATGCACTGACAAGCGTATTTTCTCTTCTGTAGGGCAGCCATGTTAGCTGGCATATTTAAGGATATTTTAAAAAGCAAAATGCAAGCACATGTACAAGCATGCAGAAGCTCCACTTTGTCAGTTAATGGAAAGACAGCATCCTGACCCGGATGTCAAAACTTTGATAGTGTGACTTAAGGGTAAAATAGTTTGGGATAGCTTTATTGGTATGAGTAGGTATTCTTACTGATTCACACAGTGCGCACAAACCCGTTTTTCCTCTGTAAATCACTGCCAACTGATAATTTGTGGGTTTTTTGGGACCAGAACAAAAAAAGTTAAAAATGCATCTACCAAAATCAGTGTGTATTGAGCTGCTGCTTATTTTATTTTTGCTTAGGCTATCTCTAGTGTAAGAGGGGAAGTCTAGACCTGATTTTGTATGTGTTGGTCAAGCCCATACAAAGATAAGATACGTTTCTGTAGCAAAAAGAGGAAATGTAGAAAATCACATGAACTTTTCTGAAAATTATTCACATTTCTAATAATTTATTCTTAATCTCAACTTTATTCATGAATTTAGAGGATGAGACAATTCTGTACTTGCTTTCCATGTTGTTAACCTTATGGTCTTTGAAAAGCTGAGTCAAAGACTCTTTTCTGAGGCATCTCCAGTGATGAAAAAGGCAAGTGTTTCTTACTTCCAGACCTATTTAGGCTAATTGTTCCACAGAAAACTTTTCAAAATATTACCTGAACTGGAAAGTACTTAGGAAGAAAATGTAGCAAGAAGGCACCTACATGATAACCCTATGAGATTTTTCTTATATTTCATTTCTTGTATACTTTTATTGCATCCTCTTCTGTGATTGTGGGGAAAAAGAACCTTAAAGAAAGCAGTTAGAGAGAACATACTCTTAAAAAAAAAAAAAAAAAGTCACCTGTTTATTACAGGATGCTTAATGTTTATTATAGTATCTGCTCTATTTACTTGGAATTTACAGAATCTGAATACTTGTTTCCTGACTTATTTACTCCTCGCTCATGTGTTGTAGTTTGGATGGAATTCATTGGATTTGTGCATGGAAATGTCTGTGTTTGCTACCTGCAGCAGAGAATTTCATGTGCCTGGCATCCTAGAGCGGTCCTTTCAAAATAAGAAGAAAAGAGTCATTTCTTTGCGGTTTGATTTTCACAGGCTGCATTCTCATGAAAGATGTTTAACATTTTGGAATCTTCTTCTTGGTGGTGTATTTTTGACCTCATGTCTTCTGACCTTTCACTGTCCTCCTCCTTCCCACTCCACCCCCACCCCTTAGTTTTGGGAGGAGAGGAGAAGAACCTGGAGACTCTGGAAAAGCTAGAAAATATGGCATTTAGAAGCTTTACTACTAGGTATCTTGCTAATGAGGATTCTCCCTATAAAAACATGACACTGTTCTTAAATCATCCTTTTGAATAGTCTAAAAGAATCTCTTTGGCAGTCTCCTCCAGGTGCTATAAATAATCATAAAGAGCTGAAAGGTTCTCCTCTTAGATAGCTCAGGTCAGAAGGCAGAACCTTACAAGCACTGGTGAGAAGGGCCAACTTGGTGACTGGGAGATGCAAAGGGATCTACTTCAGTCCATGTGTGGATATCTGCTTACCTCGCAGCTGGGCTCTCAGACAGCTTTCTGTGATGCTGGGCTCCTTCCATACCCCTTGTAATAGCTTATGAGAAGGAAACTTCTTGCAGAAATTTAAATACCTGCCAGTCTGCCTTTGCCAAGCTAGAACAAAAGACTGTCCTCATGGCAAAGCTACCCATTGTAGTAGCTTTTCAAAAAATCAGCCTCTTAGTAAAGTCTAGCTGCAGGCAAGTAATGGTGAGAGCAGAGGCTGAATAG